GGTTAAATAACTCATACTGTGATAATATTTTCTAACTCCATATTGTAAGTCACTTTAGTGATGCCTCTTATAATTACTTAAGAGGTATAGCTAACATTCTCAGTCTGTAAAAAAAATCATTAAAGCCTAAGAATATAGAACTTCGTATATTATTAATATCAGAGTTATTATTAATATTTTCTAACTCCATAATCTAAACTTTTGTCTTCTATTTGCATCCCACACTGCCATTCAATACTCAATATTTGTGTACGCATTTGCTAATAATCTCCTTCTCTTAAATTGGGAGGAGAATCCATCCCAACATCATGCCATCTTTTGGGAAGATTCTAGCAAAACAATCAGTCATCCACACATTAGCCCAAAGTTCACTGTTTACGTACTCAAGCTCATTGGTACATGGCGTGCTCACATTAGATAATCAGAGAGGAGTGATGTGATTCTCAAATTTAAACACACCATATGCTTACTTAGTTTTTCAATCTTAATCTAACGGTAAGTTCACAAAAAAATTGAACCTAAACATGACTATATGCTTAGTAATTTTTTCAAACTCAATGACAGTTAATTTCCGAAAAGGATTCAAATAGACTTTTTAGCAAAAACATAGCAACCAAATCAAAAGAGGGGATAACATGAAATAAGCAACAGGGTCGAATGACATTTCTGAAAACATGTAGCTATCAAACTGATTAAACTGTTTAACTCTCAGTTTGTGAAAGTAAAATTATAGAGTAACTAATACTCTCTAGAGGCATTCTATATATATTTGTGGGACGGAAGGAGTATATGATAATTACTTGGGGCACTATGTGTAATCTGGTAGGATCACACCCCAGATTACACATAGTACTCAAGCTCATTGTAAATGGCGTGGTCACATTAGATAATCAGAGAGGAGTGATGTGATTCTCAATTTTTTTAAAAAAATAATCTCTACTTTTACCAATTAAACAAAAATAATCTCAACTTCAAACTTTTACACTAATAATCCAAACTTCTAATCCCCGTCACTAAAATATAATAAACGAGGGCAGGGTTATCGTTTAAACAAACACCGTTAAACTCCTCTTCATTCTTTATCTCCTTTCTCTGTTGTTGAAGAACCGATGAGTAGTCCCGATTAATCTTTGGTCTCTCACGCAATTACTCCCTCGCCAAAGCATAATTGATTCTCAGATTTCACTATCTCTATTCTGAATCCTTTACTTAATATATCATCCGTATTGTGTTGGAATGTGTTTGTTCTATCAGTAACATCTCAAGTGTTTTTTGCTGCTGTAGGCCTTAGCCGACAATCTCCCTTCTCTAAAGGAATCTGGGCATCGTCAATGAAAAATTATTATTTATGGCTGCCCCTTGTTCGGCCCTGAGGACACCATCCGCAACAGACAAGAAACGCCATGCTTGCACTTCACTTTCCCTTTGGGTTTCAGAGGGGCTGAATCTTGTCCCGAGTTCATCGCTATAGCAAGCGGCCATGTGCTGTTTCAAAAATTTTGAGAGACGGAGATCCAAATACAAGACTTCCCTATTGTAAGAGATGAAGATGGAGAAGAATTGAAATTGCCCAGCCTAGAGATTCCCTCAAGCGAACGGCCATGTGATTCTCAAATTTTAACACAATATATGCTTACTTAGGTTTTCAATCTTAATCTAACGATAAGTTCACAAAAAAAAACCTAAACATGCTTGCATGCTTAGTAATATTTTTCAAACTCAATGACATTTAATTTCCGAAAAGGCTTCATATGGATTATACAACAAAAACATAGCAACCAAACCAAAAGAGGGGATAAAATGAAATAAACAACAACCTCGAAATGTAAGTACATGGTAGCAAACACATATCAAGCAAACCAAAGTGAGGGAAAAAAAGAAATAAATAACAACCTTGAAATGTAAGTGCTTTATAGTCAGTTACGGATAAGATTTCATATGAACATGTTGGGTATGTGTCGATCTTCTTCTACATTGAATTTAAGCTTTCTCGGCTCCTGTTTTTCTAAATCTACTATATAGCTCTGTGTTCTTAAATTTGTGGTACTGAAAACTGTATTATATTTAACCCTGTATGCTTTTCAGGAAAAGTATTTTGTATTTAGCATCACAAGCTACAACATACTACGTATTTCTTAGCCCTATTGGGTACTGAAATTTCAAATGCATTGCTCAACCTTTAGAGGTAGTACAATTTATAGAACTGGTTATTCTATACGGAGTATTTGATATGTTAAAATATGAACTATTTTTATATAATATATATAGAATGCCTCTAGAGGTATTAGTTACTCTGTAGTTTTAAGAGTTTATTAGTTTGATAGCTACATGTTCAGTGAAAATGTCAACACGACACTCTTTTAGTACTTTTTATACTTCCATAGTTCAATGGATAAAGTTAAAATGCCCCAGGGGTCTGCAATAAACGAAGTTTTTTACCATGATATGGAGTTGAGTTCCCCTTCAAGCTTCACATTACTGATTACAATCTTCCCTACATTTGTACTAACCAATTATGTATTTCACATGAGAGATAATGAAACTCTAAGTTACTACCTCCCCCAGATAGTCCAAATATTCAGTTTGTTAAAGTTATTCTCATATATTCTTGTTTAGCTATTGAGTTAAAAGTTAAAACTGTCAAAGATTATTTAAAAAAGCTTTTTCTTCTGTTATTTCCATTCTATTTAGTTTTAAGGTTGTAATGTTACTTGTACTAACTGAAAAAAGTTATATTCAGTTTTTCCATATTTTGTGTTACAGTGGAAGAAAGCTGAGATTTAGTAGTTTAGACCAAACTTAGACTAACAAAAGTAACACTTCATAGCTTCAACTTATTATGATTTTTTTGTTATTGGTTGAATTAGAATAAGTTATATTATCCTCGCAAAAAAAGAGTTCTTATTAGTAAGTTTTTTCCAGCGGGACATATTAATGCTTTTTAAAGGGCATGTTGAAAGGAAATGATTATTAGCCTCATAAATTAACAAAGGTTGTTAAGGATGAATGAAAAACATAACATCAGTGGTCTCTTGTAAACTCAAAAGCAGGCAGTGTAGAAATGAAGCTCTGTATTGGTGTTTTTCATCAATTTCCTAAAAGGCTTCAAATGGACTTTTCAACAAAAGAATAGCAATCAAACCAAAAGAGGGGATACAATGAAATAAACAATAGCCTCGAACTGTAAGTAGATGGTAGCAAATACATAGCAAGCAAACCAAAGTGAGGGGAAAAAAGAAATAAATAACAACCTGCTTTATAGTGAGTTATAGAAAAGATTTCATATGAACATTTTGGCAAACACATAGGAATCAAAACAAAACAAAGGGATACAATGAAATAAACAACAATAGAGACCACAGAAGAGAACACAACAACGTTTTCTCGATTGAAAATTGAAATACAACAAAGAACACATAAACAAAGAAGAAATACAGTCAAGGCAAAGCAACAATTGTAATTTAGGAATGAAGTGGAATTAATTAGAAGAGAATAAAGAACTTACAGTCGAAAAATACAAAACCTCTTCAATCACAGCTGCCAACTATCTGTAGGTGACTATCGAGGACTGTTGAATACCCAAACCATTTCACAACCATGGTTGTATGACTGTATGTCGGACTTTGTGAACGGACAAAAAAGAGGAGGGACGTTTGCGCAGAAGTAACGCTGAATTAAAGGAAGCTTTAAATGTTTTATAGAATGAATGAATGAATTAATTAATTAATGCATCCCAAACTTACATTTTCAGAATACAGACGCTAGTTTTAACGGGGGAACCAAATCGACCTCCGTCGGGGTATATGGTGCCATACGGAATTCAAGCATGAAGTCGTATGCATCACGTACAATTGTCCTATCCACCAAAGCGACACGAACATTTTTATCATGACCGTTATAACCCTGACAAAATTCATGTTTATAGAATTGTAGAGATAAGTCTGTTTGATAACACTGATATTGGCTGAAACGACTGATTTTGTTGAAATTTATGAAGTTATAGTTTTTAATTGACTTTATTGGTTGATTCTGATGATTTATGAAAAAATGATATTTAGAATATCTTTATTAATAAAATAAATAATATATATATATATATATATATATATATATATATATATATATATGAAAATAGCTAAAATGGTAACTTCATCGAATGCAATCATAAAAGTAACTTCAACCTTACTTATTTGGATTAGAATAAATTCCACTTTTGGTCCTATGAGTTTTAGGTCAATTCCACATTTAGTCCACATCTTTCACTTTGTCTACTTTTGATACATGATTATTGGGGTTTTGTCCATGTATGGTCCTTCCGACATTGTTTTCGATGGTTAAAATCGATGGAAAAAGACCACAAACGGTTAAAAAACATTAGTCAAATACCAAAAGTGGACAAAGTGAAAGACATGGATTAAAGGTGAAATTGACACAAACTCGTAGAACCAAAAGTGGAATTAATTCTTTGAATTATTACACAATTCAGCGCGCGAAATCAAAAGTTATATATTTGATGAAAAAGTTAGCTGATAAGCCGAAAAACGACTAGGACAACTAAATTAACAATGTCTATACTTTGACTAGTTTCAACCCATACAAGAACGATTTAAATATATTAGATCAGACAAAATTAGATTTAAATAGACCATCAAACCAAATCATAATAGACCATATTTAGAAATAGTAAAAATGTAAAATATCAAACTAAATTATATCAGATTTATTTGACTTGAATACGCTATTTCTGTCTAATTAAAAGCATCTTAATTACTTTTAAAAGAAAATGAACAGTTTTTTTAACAACATAAAATACAAAGGAAAAGGAAAACTCGAATGAACACAACACAATCACATAAAAAATCCCAATAATACTCAGATCAAAATACACGAAATATTCCTCAACTATCATGTTCTTCAAGTGATTATTATTTTTGTCAAATCACATGACTAAATTTCTGAAAATTCTGATTCTAGGTAAAACCATTTCAATTAGTTCGGCTCTTGGACCTGTACTTAAACAATCCTAATGTTAGTTGAACCCGGTGTTCTTGGAGATGCAAACAATATCAAATCACAACTGATCAAAAATTAGGCAGATCTGAAAAAGAATTGAACAAACTAAACCGGTCCAACAAAATAAGAGAAAGCAATATTTCACATAATTTGGTTTCCCTTGCATTAAATTAAATACTGGTGCAGTGGATAAGATTATTTAATAATTCTGCTCTTTTGTTTCCTGTCTTGCAAGTTGTTGTTCTGATTCCATACTTGCATGCCCATTGCTCACATGAAGTCGAATCTTTCTGTCCTTCACTGAAAAAGAAATAGAAATCCAGCAAAAGCGTATGCTCCAATTATTTCTTTATTTAGTAAAAATTTAGTTAAAAAATATCATTTTTGGGCAAAAGCTCAGATATTGTCTCTCTGTTCCATTATTATTAGATTATTGCTGATGTGACTGGTGGGATTGGAGAGTTTCATTGCGATCTGCTGTGATGGTCCGTTGAAAAAAACTGCATTTCATGGCTTCCTGGTAGGGTTTTGATTATATATATGGGATTTTGATTTTCTTCCAAGATTTTTGACAATTGAATTCCCAGGGAAGTATCAAGAATTCTGTACTTTGTAGTTGAATTCAAGGATGTAAACTGTGCTCTAGAAACAGAATGGAGAGCAGAAACGTTAAAACTATTGTGTGGTTTAGGAGGGATTTGAGGATTGAGGACAATCCTGCTTTAGCCACTGCTGCCAGAGATGGGAGTGTATACCCAGTGTTTATATGGTGCCCCAAAGAAGAAGGACAATTCTACCCTGGAAGAGTTTCAAGGTGGTGGCTCAAGCAGTCTCTCATTCATTTGGACCAGTCTTTGCAGTCCCTTGGAGCTGAATTGGTGTTCATCAGAGCTGATAGTACCCTTGATGCCCTCTTACAATGCATCACTTCTATTCAAGCAACAAAAGTTGTCTATAATCATCTCTATGGTATTTCAAAATCCTATTTTTTTTGTTTATAATAGTTGAAGAATTTGATGCTCTCTAGAAATGAGTTTGGTAATTTGTTATATGTTGCGTCCGTGGAAATACCACATTTTTTTGTTCGACACTTACGGTAACTTTGGAAATCAGAATAGAAAACTTTTTCAAAAAGGAAACATACAGGACAGCTTCTTGATATCAGCTTAATTTCAACCGAGGCCGCAGAAATTTCGACAGTATGTGGTAATAAGGGTGTGTGCTGTGTGCAGGATTCATGGGCTTAAATTTGAAATTTCATTGAGCTGATTAATAAGCTTTATCAGACACTTTTTATCACATTTGGTATTCAAAAGTTACATATTTTCTTCATCAGCAGAATAATTACAGTAAGTAGCTATTGATTTGATTATTTGATTGAAATGGATCTTACCAAACCCTTTTTCGAGAAATTCAACCATTCATCCAAAATAGCCCTTACCCAACGGGCTCCTTCCATTGAGAAAATGTAGCAGATTCAACAAAGCTTCAACAAAATAAGCCTTACTGACTCGACATTTCGTAGGAATTTTTATGGTATAGGGTTTAGACGTCCTACCCTATCCTATTTTAGCTAGTCATAAGAAAGTCTTAGCTTTGGCCTAATTACCTATAACAACTTTGGTATAGCATCAAGCCATAAAATTTGTATGGTCATAATACGATGTCTGTAGAAAAGGCCAGTCATCAAACTGTCCTCTCATATCTCTAAGCCTTTCATTTTGTCAGATCCCATTTCTGTTGTGCGTGATCACAAAATCAAACAAAGATTAGAGGAGCTTGGTTATTCTGTCCAAAGCTATAATGCTGAGTTGTTGAATGAACCGTGGGAAGTTTATAACGAGGATGGAAAGGTTTATACCGAATTTGATGCGTTTTGGCAGAAGTGTTTGCACCAAACTAAGGAACAATCTGTTTCACATCTCCCTCCCTGGCGATTAACACCTGCTCAAGGTACTTATATAAAGTTTTAAGTTACTTCTCCTATCGCGTTATTTTTTTATAGATAAATTGACATGTTTTATTAATGTACATGAGTTCATTAAGCTTAAACTAGCAACTTGATCCGAATAAGTCTGAAAGCAAGCATACATACTTCACGATTGGTCGCAATTCAATCCTAATAAGTCTGAAAGCAAGCATACATATTTAACGGTTGGTTTGCTCAAAAGAACCATCTTCTTGTGACGACATTTACGGCTTCGTTAGATTACCTTTTGGCCTGACCATAAATTTTAATATTGTTAACTTCATCACAAAATTTTACCCATATGTTTATGTAGCTATGAATGTCAAACATATTTATTTTTATTTTATTTTTGGTTTGTTCACAGGCTCAGTTAGGAAGTTCTCGATTGAGGAATTGGGTCTGGAAAATGAAACAGAAAAGTCCAGTAATGCCTTACTCGGAAGAGGATGGTCACCTGGATGGAGCAATGCTGATAATGCACTAACCGATTTCATAGAACATCACTTGCTAGAATACTCGACGAAACGCCATAGAGTTGGAGGCAATTCCACTTCTCTCCTGTCTCCTCATCTCCATTTTGGGGAATTAAGCGTAAGAAAGGTTTACCATAGTGTGCACATGAAGCGTTTGGTTTGGGTGAAAGAAGGGAACTCAACAGGAAGAGACAGTGCAACTCTATACCTAAAAGCTATTGGGCTTCGAGAGTATTCCCGCTACATCTGTTTTAACTTCCCATTCCTACATGAAAGGTCACTGCTGAGCAACCTGCAGTATTTCCCATGGAATGCCGATCAGACCCATTTTAAGGCTTGGAGACAGGGTCGGACGGGATATCCTTTAGTTGATGCGGGAATGAGAGAGCTCTGGGCCACCGGATGGGTCCATAATAAGATAAGAGTTATCGTTTCAAGTTTTTGTGTGAAATTTCTACTTCTGCCATGGCAATGGGGGATGAAGTATTTTTGGGATACACTACTTGATGCAGACTTGGAAACTGATGTTCTTGGATGGCAGTATATATCTGGCAGCTTACCAGATGGGCATGAACTTGAGCGCCTAGATAGCCCAGAGGTATTTTAAATTTCCTCATGTGTTAATATGTGTGTAGGTGTGTGTATTACAATAAAACTATTCAGCTTAGAGTAATAATAGTATGTTTGGGATAATGTAAAAATTTACAATAATTCAAATAATAACCAATTATATGCATAGTTGAATTATTGTTATAATAGACTATAACCAAATCAATTTTTGTTTGTGAAATGTTTGTTGGCACTTGACATGATAAGTAACACGGAAAGGTGAAATGGGAAGTGTGTAACGAGAAACGGGAGAGACGGTATATAAAAATATATATAAGGTGCCAAACATGGGGTAAACAATAACAAATTTAAATATAGGTATATATTTATAAATCTCTTTCAAAATATATGTATGCTTATTTTTTCATATTAACTTTGCTGTATAAATATATAATAATCAACATCAATGACAACAATGCCCAAGATTTATTCCCAAAAGAGTTTAAAGTAAAAAATAGTCTACATATTTTGATATTATTCACATATTTGTACATGATCAAATGTATAATAAAATACATTTCTAGCAATGCACTGCTCTATGAATTGTCACAAAAATTGTGAGGAAAGAATCCCATAAAAGTCCATCAAGAAATCTCATGAAACATACTAATTTCGATCAAGACATCACTTCAAAAGAAAAAAGCAAAGACCGAACATTTCTAAAACGTTAAGAACAGAGATTCCAATTCGTTTATATTACACAAATGACATTAAACCAAAATTTGATGTTTTGAAATGTTTCCAAGTTTCCGAAACAGCAGACTGTTAGCTCTACGGAGTTTCCGTGCTTCTTAGTCTAGATCATCATCATCATTTTCATTTACCCCATTGCCGCAAAGGCTCCCACCTACGGTGGGGTAAGGGGGGTCGGATGTACGCAGTCTTACCTCTGTACTAAAGCACAGAGAGACTGTTTCCGGATGATCCATAGTGAAAATCGCGTCCACAATTGCATGGGCTGACTGCTACTTCATAACAAAGAAGCGCAAACAGTTTAGTGAGCCATTTTGCTTTATTCCATCATATTCTCAAGCCAAAAAATAATGAATCTTTGGCTCCATTGCAAATGATGGAAAACTTCTTAGTCTAGATGTGGTTTAGAAATTATTAAATTCATTTAGATAAAAAAACAGCTTATAAAGAATAATAAAGCTCTTTATAATTTACCATAAAGTTAAATTGGAGGTCCCAAACAAGCTCTTAGTCTTGGATTAGAAATTTACATCTAAGGTGGTGCGTCTAAGGAACATTGCAGTAGTTAGTTATTCACTTACTCTAGTTTTTTCTGAAAGAAAAGTACAACAAATTGAAACAAAGAAACTCTTCCCCTATCACCATGTTAACTTATTCGTTTAGGTCTATTTAAACCTCTTCTGTATTGAAAGACAAGTGGCTAAAATTGCAAACATGAAGAGTATTTTTGAAACAGTTCATTCTAGGGCATTAATTTGCTGAGCCCTAAAAGTTAACTTTTTACTGAAATTGTGAGACAGGTCCAGGGGTTCAACTTTGATACAGAGGGTGAATATGTGAGGCAATGGCTGCCCGAGCTTGCAAGAATGCCAACCGAGTGGATCCATCATCCTTGGGATGCACCTTCTAGTGTGCTTAGGGCTGCTGGTGTTGAACTCGGTTTGAACTATCCCAAGCCCATAGTTGATTTGGACGTAGCAAGGGAACGTCTGACTGAAGCTATACTCACCATGCGGGGAAAAAACCCAATTGAAGGTGCAGATGAAGTTGTCTTTGAAAACTCTAACTGTAATGAAAATTTGGTCATTCCAAACGCTACTTGCCCCACCAGTTCGTCACGTGATCAGAGAGTTCCATCTCTCCATAATGGGCTTGTGAACAAAAAGAGAGCAAATCCTACAGAAGAGGAGGAGAAAAGGCCGGTAAAAGAACATTTTCAAAGCCAGAAGAAGAATGAAGTTGAGGGGTCGAAGATGGATGAAGACTTGTACTCTACAGCAGAATCTTCTTCAATGAAGAAGCAGAATACCACTGGTAGTAGCAGTAGACATTCGTTTTCCGTTCCTGAAGCCATTTCAATTTCTTCCAACGCAACATCTTTTGAGGATCACAAATCCTATGAGCTCAAGCTTCAAAAGCTAAAGGAATTGGAAGATGATGATATGTCAAGCATAAATGGTATGGACAACTTATGAATCTTCTTCCTTATCTTGTGCTAGTTGACCTTAGGGGGCGTTTGGTATGTTGTAAAGTAAACACTTTGCATGCAAAATGTAGGGAACCAAAGATTTTACACTGTTTGGTTTTGATTACATAATTTTTTTACTATTTGAAAAAATTGTTTCTATTAATCCAACTTTTTTTTGCCTGTTAATCAAACCCTTCCAAACTCTGAAGTCATTTTTAGTGTGAAACTACTTTAACAAACAATCAATCCTACGTGAATTTTTTTATGTGGACTGAAATCAGAGAAGAAAGAATGTCTGGACTATTTTAAAGAAAGTGAAAGGTGGGACTGCTATAAGCATAACCAAAAAAAGGTGGAATTAAAAAGGCTAAAACTTTCCTAAATATTATCCACTGTAACATGTTAAAACATTTTACGTGGGTGTGGTAAATTAAAATATGTTACATGGTTAAGATTATACAAGGCAAATGCTTTACTTGTAATCTAAAAATGTATTACATACTTTACCAAACAATTTATTTAACACTTGACATGTAGTCATTTTGGGTGCAGAGTTAGTTTCTTTGATTTTAATTAGGTCTATTGGGTTAGAGGTTTCTTTAGGGGATAAAATGGAGGAAAAGTTACCAATTGAACCTCTCCTTTCATTTGATTAAAAAAATTTAGAAGGGTTAGAGCCCCCCGGCTCCTGTTTTGGCCCCTTCCGATTATGGGTTTTGCAGGGAAGGCCTAGACCTAAACTTAGCTTTGTTTTCCTCCCCTCTACACTTCAGCTAGATCATATAAATTAACACGAGGACACTCCCTCCCCGTACGCTTCCTCCAAACATACCCTTGTATATGCAGGTTTAACATATGTTGTTGTATTGTTTTGATGTTAGTAGATGCCTTGGACAGATGAAGTCGTGAGGTACAGATCAGCAATGGCTTGCTGGTTTTTACCTGGTTTTCCATGCCTGTGGATTATTATTTAAATAGAGATTCATCTAAAACCAAAATGGTATTTATTTAGAGTCATTTATTTATCATAACACAGTTAAATAAATACACGAGAGGATATGTTTTTTTTAATATTAAATAAACAAACTGTTTTAACTAACATGCTTGTGAGTTGTTAGTTGATATTGAATGTACCAACTTGAGACAATGATTGTATAGCAAAATTATTTGCACTCCACACTAATGTGAATGGGTGCAATGTGAATGAGCTGAATGAACAATCACCTTTCCGCCGTGTGGTAGGTATCTTTTGCTTTCCTGAGGTATCTTTTGAAACGTCAAGGAAAACAAAGCATTCTTTTTGCCTTTTAACTTTAGAAATATGCAGAATGCATTCTTTATGCACAATCCACACTAAATGATTACCAGTCAAACTTTCCTACCTTCCTGGTGGATGGATGGAAAGTACTACATGATAATCTTTTCTCATACTTTTAAACCATGGGTGAAGCATTTGAATACAAACCTTCGATTTAAAAACATATAATATCATTTCATTGCTTAAATAAAAGCTAGGCAACATTGTCATAAAATAGGAGCTTACCAACTTCAATTACAAATCTTTGTAGACTGCATTGGCCATTGTATACCAAGAGCCATCATCTTCATCATAGAAATAAGAGTTTTTAATCCCATCTGATTTGTAACTCAAAATTTTAACATGTAACATACATCCCTACAGATGAAAGTGGTTTTCATGTAATACGCGAAAGATTCCTTTTGCGAGTATGTTAAAACATCACTGGTATTTATGATATGTGCGGTGTTTTGGGTGCATCAATCCGAGGATTGTATAAATCGCCCTTATTATATCTTATAACAATTGATGTAGCAGCAAATTGTTGATCACTAATTCAATCCTAATCAAGAAAGCCATATATATTTAGTATCTTAATTAGAAGTATATTGCTCAGTACTCCGTATAAGATTAAAAGATAGCCAAAGTTGTAAAACAAAGCAGCATGAAGTATATATGGTACGCTACCTTAAACCTTTAACACATAATCATTGAGAATTATTGGGGTTATGATTAGGATTTAGGAAAGTAAAATTAAAGAGGAACAGTCTTGGTGTGTGTTCTCATCTCCATTTCATTACCATCATCTTCCTCCCTCTCATTTTCTTTCGACATCTCCTCCAGCGATTTCCCCTTGGATTCTGGCACCAGCAACGTGAACAGAATGCCCAAGAAATTAATGCATCCCAGCACTATGAGTGAGTTCCTGACCCCGATTCCGGGAGGGTACCCTGCATCCGTCTTCTTTGGGTCCGTTGACTGGGCAGCGTACAAGAACCCGAATGCCCCCACCATTGCCCCCGCCTTCCCAGCCGCTGCCGAGATGCCGTGACATGTGGACCTCAGCCTCGCCGGGAATATCTCTGCGGGAACCACGAAGGTGGTAGCATTTGGGCCAAAATTCGCAAAGAAGAAAGTCAGCGAGTACATGATCACGAACCCAATTCTGTTGTCCTTGTGCGTCCAGTGGTTGTACGGGATGGCCAACGCAAACATGAAAACCGTCATGAAGAAGAAACCCATCAGCTGAATGGTGAATCTCCCCATTTTGTCGATCAATGCCACTGTGAACCAGTACCCTGGAACTGTGCTGCAGAGGGCGATCAGTGTCTGGGCTCTGGCGATTCTGTACACCTCTTCAAGCGCGTTCATCGTGTCCGCTTTCGGAATCCATCCGATTGCCGAGAAAATGTCCTTCTGGAATAAGTTTTGGCTGTAAAACGCAATGTCCAGCAAGAACCATGTCGTGGCTGTTCCCACCAGGTGAAGGCCATGGCGGCGAAGGAATGCTTTGGAAAACAACCCGAACTCATTCCCCTGCACCTTATCTTGAACACCCACACCGGCGTTCTGTTGCTCTGCTTGTATTTCAACCTGCATGACCTTGGACATATCCGACGCCGCCTGTTTTGCGTTCTTGGCAACCAAGGCGGTGTAACGAGCGGTTTCCGGCATCTTCATGCGCCAGTAGTAAGTGAGTGCGGCGGGGAGGGCGCCGAACATGACGATTATACGCCACACATAATCCGCTTGAGAAACAGTGGAAGCTAAAGGGTTGTCTTTGTATATGGGGGCAGGGAATGCGGTCTTCAAAGATGTGGAGACGATGATGGCGACTGTGCCGCCGGCGAGAATCCCGAAACCTTGCATGGCAAACACGGCGGCGATGAAGGCACCCCGAGTCTTCTTGTTGGCGTACTCCGACATGATGGTGGCGGAGAGAGGGTAGTCGCCACCGATGCCGAAGCCCAACCAGAAGCGGAAGAAGCAGAGCGTGGCCATGACGCTCTTAGGCGAGTGACCAAAGGAGAGACCGGAAGCAACGGAGCAAATGACCATCAGCATGAGGGTCATTCCGTACACTTTCTTTCTCCCCAGTTTATCCCCAAGCCACCCGAAGAACAACTGCCCAGCGAGGGTCCCGCAGAAGGCGACACCGTTGACGGCTGCGGCTACGTTGGGTGGGAGAGTGCCGGGTTTGGGCGCGCCGTCGACGTGGTAGTAGATCCGGCCCAGCAATTTGGTGACCAAGGAGATGCAGAAAAGGTCATAGGCATCTGTGAAGAAGCCCATGCCAGCAATCACAATCGCCGTGAAGTGGTACCATTGGGTTTTCGCCAAATCAAGTGCACTCAGCACTTGCAGTTGATCCCTTGCCATCACTTGCTACTCAACTAATCTGCACTTTTGCTTCCTGCAAACAAGATTAAACAAGTTCTAACTTGTAACACCCCATAGAAGCTAGATTGTGGAAATATATACTCCGTATATGTATATATATGGATGTGACTCATCATTGATATTGGGTTTATTTGGTACTTGTATAAAATTATGAATATAATTGTGAACAAGTAAAAGGCAAGCCACTGCTAACTTCAAATGTGTACGTTGTTACAAAAGTCATGCTTCAAGCTTTGGGAGTGTATAAATAGAGAAATGTTTTGGGCTTGCACATATATACTCCGTAATACATACCGAGTGTACACTTCCTCTCATTAGGGATTCTATGAAATCGAAGTCTGCATTTTGTAATGTTGAAACCAATGGTCACAATACTATTACCTTATGAATGATCTAATTAAGGAGATTGAGGAGGGACATTTAAGGTCTTGATGTCTCTAAGGATGCTATTTTTAAGTCAATAGAAAAGGGTAGTCCGGTGCATGAAGGCATCCCTATAAGGCGAGGTTTCGGGGAAAGATTACACCACAAGGGTATATAAGAAGCAAATCTTTCTTTATCATGCTTTGATAAGAGGCCATTCCATATTTGAAATAATAGTTTTATCAATAAAATGGATACTCCGGATTGAAAGTATGTAGTCTTTAGTAGTGTTAGGTTGTTGCTTTCAACTAGTTTTAAATTTATGATATGATGATTTTTACTTTGTAACTACAACTTTATTACTTTGACAGCTAATAAGACATTAAATGTCAAGCCGGACCATATAATAAGGTTACATAATTAGCAAAGCTAAACTAACGGGCAGTAGGGTGGGCTAATTATATAGACTAGATTATGCAAAATTAAGCTATGCAGATCGCCTTTTTAATTATGATATCATTTAGAAAGAAGCCAGACTATTTAAAGTAAGCCTCGACGCGTATTGACTAAAACCAACACTTTAAATTTGAGAGAAACGCCTATACATAGACCTATCATCGGGTTCGGTACGGGCCTCGACTCAGATACCCGACAGGTCTACAACTCTTGTTCCTGATCCATACAGCCATACGGCCATACCCATCGAGTCTCAGAATCGAATCGAGTAGACTTGTCTTATACGCGACCTACAAGAAGCCAACTCCAAATTTTATCGAATCAATTTGACTACAAAAAAAAGATTTTTCCTAAAATATTACTAAAATAAAACATGTGGATAAAATTGTGATTGAAATGATAATATATATTCTTTCATAGTTACGATGATGTTAAACTTGAACACAATTATAATCACTAAAAGTTATTAAGTTGCATTTTTGTTCTCTATCCTTATATCGGTAATATAAGTAGTATTAGATATTATTTCTACACACTCTTTAAAAATGTTGAAATTTTCCCTTAAACTTTCATCAAAATGGCATTGTTGACACATGTTGGAATTTTTTTGGGTGATCGGAGACTCAGAGCTGGCTGGTGGTGCTGGGAGGTTGTTGAGGCGGTAGCAGAGGTCTGCATCTTTTTTTTTTGTTTATTATGTTTTTATTTTAATTTTTAGGTTTTTAATTTTATAATTTTTTATTTTGCAAATTTTTTATTATTACAAATTTTATTTAATGTTTATTTTTCGTGGTTTCTATATTTTTATACTTTTATTATAAATAAATTTATGTTATTACTTTAATGATTTAATTAATAATGATTAAATTGTTTTAAAATAAATCAAGGGTAGGATTGAAAATATCGTCCTATTTAGGAATTTTTTTTCTGAATGTAGGAAATTTAAAGTCATACTCCTATTATTGCAATTAAAATTTAATTCAATCCTATTTGAAAAAATAAGCTTTTTGTTGTGTACAGTGGGTGCACGCGCGAGTCAGAACCAAATGCGTATGTTCAGGATTCTTACGATTTTTCGTGTCACTTTAAAAAGTTCAAAAAACATTTGCGTACGTACAAAAACTCCAAATAAGAGTTTATAATTGAGATCCTCTATATATTATTCACGACTGGAAAAATATCAAACCGCCACAAATGCATCGCGGCCATGATTATTAATGAATAAAAATATGATCATGCAATCACAATACGGAAAATTACTAGTGTGAAGTTGAGTATCATCATATAATTATATTTACCGATCGAGTATCATAATCATAAACTACAACCTAAATCCGAGTATCATTCCGTATTCTGTAGGTAGCATTATATTGTGTTTTTTGTTTTAGTTTTAGGGTTTACTTTTCATCATTATTAATTACTTCCACAATACAATGAAATTTGAAACAACATCCCGTGGGATCAAATATCATGTGTGTAGAAACCGATCACCCAACCAGACCTCACCACCGGCCGACTCAATTAATAAACAATAAGACCTCATCGCAACATTTTAATTTCCGTTGACAAAATATATTTTAGGCTCTTGATCGAATTGTGAGGATGCATGGACAACACAAAAT